AAAGGCATGCGTCACCACCACCCGGCTTAAACCTATATATTTTTAAAACTATCTTGGCTTCAAAATGGAAGTCAAAAGGTATGTTTCTCTGGGAGAGAGGTTATGTTCTTATTTCCGTAGGAAACAAAAGGCTGTGGATTTATTCCAGGTCAAAGATGATCAGGTTTGCTTAATGAAGACCCTCCTAAAAATCCTGACTATAAACATAAAAAATAACCTAAAAAACTACAAAACACATGGCTTATATTTTACCTGCTCAAATATAAAACACAAACTCATCTTTGGCTTACTTGTGTACAACACAGTCTATATGTGTACTAATACATATACGTATAGATCATCAGCACTCAGGAGGCAGAGGCAGGCAGATCTCTGTGAGTTCAAGGCCAGCCTGGTCTACAGAGTGAGTTCCAGGATAGGCTCCAAAGCTACACAGAGAAATCCTATCTCAAAAAAACAAAAACAAAACTAAAGCAAGCCAGACCTCTATGTATTTGATATTTTTTTCTCTAAAGCATTCTCATACACCACTGGTCTCATACCTGCAAATATTTATTGTGACTGTTTTCATTCTCTGTCATGTGGTTTCAAAAATGTTCCTAATCCACGTCACTTGGTGACACCTTAAGAACATCCTGGTACCTTCTGCAGGGGGGTGGGGGTGGGGATGGAATTCTTGGCAGCTAGGTTTTTATTCCAGAGGAGACCAGAAAAGAGAGGCCTCCTTCTGTCTCACTCCAGAAATGCTTACTCAAGACTACATCTGGAGAACTGGAGTTACAACCAATCACAATACAAGAAAAGAAAAGGAAGAACCAGTGAAGCTTGGCCCCAGTGATCCCTTTGTGTCCCCTCCACCCTTGACTAATTACAGGCTCGATTGTATTTCCTTTCCCTCTGCAATGTGCCAAAGCTCACAAATGAATGCAAGAAGGCAAATGAGATGACCATTAACCCCACCCAAGCTTAGATGACTGCGTGAGAACATACAGTTCACTCCCTAAAGTAAGAAAGAAAAGAAAGTTTGTGTTAAAAAATGGAAAGAGAAGCAGGGAATCATGTGCTCAGGTTACTCTATGAGAGAAAACTATGTTATCAATAAATATTTCTAGAACAGTTTATGTTTCCTTCTCCAAATTCATGCTGAATTCTAGCCCATGGTTATCTTAGAGTATGCCTGTAACTGGAGGTAGGTTCAGCCTGACAGCTTATCCTGCAGACTGACTTTTTGTGCCACCATACACATTTTGAGATTGTTTCTCCTACATCTGTAAAATATCACCCTGGAGTTTTTATTGGGATTGTATTGCATTTGTAGATTGTTTTAAGTAGAATGGTCATTTTTACGGTATTTAATTTTTCCAACCCATTAGCATACAAGCTCTTTCCATCTTCTAAGTGTCTTCCTCAATTTCTCTTTAGTGTCTCAAAGTTTTCATTGTAGAGGTCTTTATTTGCTTAGTTAGGCTTATTCATATGAATTTAATTATTTTAGTAGCTGTTGTGAATGGGGTCCTTTCCCTAATGTATCTTTCAGTGTGTTTGATGTTGGTTTATAGGAAGGCCGCTGATTAGGTGTGTTAATTTGTATCTTGCCACTTTGCTGAAAGTGTTTATTTGCTCTAAGAGTTTTGGGTTGGGTATTAGTGTCTCTTATATATAAAACTATACCATCTACAAATGGGGATACTTTCCCTTCTCATCTCTTAATGCACTACCTCAGACTTCAAGCATTATATTTAGTAGGAGTGGAGTGGACAGTCTTTATTCCTGGCTTTAGGGAGAATTCTTTGAATTTTTCTCCATTTAACACGATATTGTCCATAGACTTGTCACATATAACATTTATTATGTTGAGATGTGCACCCCTCACTGCTAGTTTCTTCATGACTTTTATTGCAAAGGAATCTTGAATTTTGTCAAAGGATTTCCTCTATGGAAATGATCATGAGATTTCTGTGTTTGAGTCTATTTACATAATGGATAACATTTATTGATTTACATATTGTGGTGGTTTGAAAGAAAATGGCCCAAAAAAGGAGTGGCACTATTAGAAGGTGTGGCCTTGTTGGAGGAAGTGTGTCACTGTGGGGACAGGCTTTGAGGTCTCTTTTGCTCGAGCTTCCCTCAGTGTGACAGTCAGTTGATTTCTGGTTGCTTGCAAGGTGTAGCGTTCTCTGCTCCAGCACCACGTCTATCTGTATGCCACCATACTCCATGTCATGATGACAATGGACTAAATCTCTGAAACTGTAAGCCACCTCAACTAAATGTTTTTCTTATAAGAGTTGCTGTGGTCATGATGTCTCTTCACAGCATCAAAAAACCTAAGGCACATATGTTGAGTCACACTTGCATTTTTGAAATAAAGTCAACTTGGTTGCGATGAGTAATATTTTTGATGATTTTAAATTAGGTTTGCCAGTATTTTATTGAGAATTTTTACATTTGCATTCATTGGGAAGTGTGGTCTGCAATTTTCTTTTGTTGTTGTGTCTTTATATCTGGTTTTGGTATCAAATTAACAAGTAGTGAGACACACCTTTCTTCTTTTTCTGTTTCATGGAATAACTCATATAGTATTGGTGTTAGTTCTTTGAAGTTCTGATAAAATTCTATAGTGAATCCATTTGCTCACAGACTTTTAATAGTTGGGAGACTTATTGCTGCTTCAGTCTTGTCGCTGGTTATGGATCTGTTTAAATCATTTATTTATTCTTGTAATTTTAGTATATTATATTGTTGGGGTTCCCCGAATTGAGGAGGGGTCCCCAAGCTGGATTCGTCGCCCCAAGAATCAAGAGTCCATGTGCCAATTGATGCAACACGCAAGAGGCTTTAATTAGGCATCTGCAGATGGGCCTCTCGGTCAGTTTTTAGACCGATTGGCCCCGAGGTTCAGTTACAATCAGCTTTTTTTTTTTTTTTTTTTTGGTTTTTCGAGACAGGGTTTCTCTGTATTGTTTTGGAGGCTGTCCTGGAACTCACTCTGTAGACCAGGCTGGCCTCGAACTCACAGAGATCTGCCTGCCTCTGCCTCCCGAGTGCTGGGATTAAAGGCATGTGCCACCAACGCCTGGCCGTACAATCAGCTTTTAAGACAAAAACCACAAGCCTTTGGGAGGGGTCCCTATCTTGTGACGGGGGCGTACGTGACTACTGACCAGGGGAAGTAAATGTCTTCCTGACCTACACGTTGTAAATTCCTCAAACCTTGGTATGAGTTAATCATCTCTCCCTAAGTAAATGGTGGTTATCATCTCCTTGTTTCCCACGAATCTTGTTTGCCCATCTCTGACGCCCTGGTCAGTTCGTCACAGGTGGTCAGCAGCTCAGAATTTGGCCTTTTGTGGGTTTACAGCCCTTCTGCAATTAAGGTTGCTAAACCATACATCCCATTCTGTGGTTTGGCCAGTTCCTGGGATGTGGCCCTTTGTTTACTTTCTGAGTTCTCTAGTGGGGTGCCCTCCCTGTTTAAGCTTATATTTTACTTCTATAAATTCGGGGTCTTTCAATATGTATATAGTTCATCTCTTTCTTTTAGACTTTCGAATTCATGGAATAAATAAAGGGTTTTGAGGTATGTCCTTGTGATTTTTCTGAATTTAATTGGTATCTCGTGTCACTCACTAATTTGTGCATTGGTTTTGATAATGTCTTCCCATATGTTGCTTTGAGTTTTGGTTTGCTCTTGTTTGTTCAAGGCCTTAGGTACAGTATTAAGTTATTAATTTTAGCTATCTCATTTTTTTAATGTAAGTACTTAGTGTTGTTTTCCTCTTAGAACTGCTTTTTGTTATTTTCCAAAGATTTTGGTATGTTGTTCATTTCATTCATGTCCAGGAATTTTTTTTTTATTTCTTCAGTGACCCAAGTTGTCTGCAAGAGCAGTACATGGTGTTAACAAATGAGTCACTCTCCAGCCCCTCACATTCCTCCTTTCAATGGGGCTGTATACAATGTTCAGGAGAGGACAGAGAGGCAGGGTGGCTGAGACGTTATTTTCTTCTGTGTGACTCGTGACTAAGGGTTGCAAGTTCATCTTCTGAGAGTCTATTGCTTGCCCTTGAAGATCACTTTCCAAAGTCATCATCAACCTGGTTCTCTCATCCACTGGACTGTGGCATGACTCTTCAGTCAGCTCTGCCATGATCCTTTGTCCACCTGCCTCTTAGATCTGTTGTAGAACTCCAGAAGCCTAAGCATATTATCTATTTCCCTGAGACTAGGGCTTTCCCTGAATTTTAAAAATCCAGCCTGTGGGCACCTTGTAACCCAGCCCTGGGTTCATTACTTTGTTCGCCCAGAATGTACCCCTGCCCCAGCTCTGACCATCCTCCAGAGTCTATAGTAGCTTTCTGTGCTTTAATATACCTTTAAACGTAAGTTTCTGTTACAATCCCTAAAATCCAATTGTTTTCTTGGGCCAAACTATAGTTTATCAGACCAACAGTAATCCTTAGGGCAGAATTTGGATAAGTAAACTGTTGAAAAATGAAACACGGGGCTGTAGAAAACTTTCAAAGCTGTTAAGAAAGAGTCATCTCCTTGGGGCTGGAGAGATGGCTCAGAGATTAAGAGCACTGGCTGTTCTTCCAGAGGTTCAATTCCCAGCAACCACAAGGTAGTTCACAACCATCTGTAACTAGATCTGGTGCCCTCTTCTGGCATGTAGGCAGAACACCATATACTTAATAATAAATAAATAAATAAAAAGGTATTCTTCAGAGATTAGCAACAATGGGCTCCAACTCAGCGTGAACATTCAGTGTTGGAGGAAAGAGACCCAGAGGAAACCATTCAAAACCAACATTGAAGTACCTGCCTCTGCATCACAAGGAGCTTCAGAACTAAAGGGTGTAACACTTTGTTTGAGGAAGACAACTAGGGGGAAAGAATAAACACTCAGTTGAGTCTAGCATCTGGACTAAGATGAGTAACATATATGATGAAGTGAGAAGTAATAATAGCTGCTAAAAGAACAAGGCACACTCCATGTGTTTCAATTCCACTCAGTGCTTTTATTTTAGAAAAAGAAATCACACTGAATCCAACAAGGTAGAACTACTGATTTCTTACTCTGCATTATTCTTCCACTTTAAAAAGTAAACTCAAATCTGTCTTGATCCAGAATATCACTGGTTATTTCAAGAGAACCTGTGGAAAAACAAGATTCACTTGAATCACAGATTTTATAATCTATCACGGGGATAAGGGGAAAAAGGGAAAGGACAGGAAGCCAACCAATATTGTAATATACTACAAAACTTCCAATTTTTTGTTATCTCCATTCATTGACTTGGTGATCCGAGTTAACAAAGTCATATTAATGTTCATAATATTTTAGTGAACATACCTAGTACTATAAATAAATACAGGCTTTCTTCCCAAATTCACCTGATTTTCTCTAGCAGATTATCTAGTTAAGTATATTTTCTCAGAAATTAAGATACCAAACAGGGGGGCTAGAGATAGTTCCATGGTTAACATCACTGGCTGTTTTTCCGGAGGGCCCAGGTTCAATTTCCAGCATCCAAGTGGCAGTTCACAAGTGTCTGTAGCTCCAGTTCCAGGTGATCTGACACTCTCACACAGACATACATGAAGGCAAAGCACCAGTGTACATAAAATAAATGATCATAATCTTTAAAACTAGAATCATACTTTTATTAGCATTATTTCTTACAATGTTGTTGGAGATAAATGTGTTGCTGCAGTCATAACTGTACCAGCACAAGACACTGAAGCAAGGATGAAAACTATTACTTTGTTTTAAATTTTATGTGCCTTGGTGTTTTGTCCTCGGTTTTGGGTCCCCTGGAACCGGAGTTAGAGACAGTTTTGAGTTGCCATGTGGGTGCTGGGAATTGAACTTGGGTCCTTTGGAAGAGCAGTCAGTGCTCTTAACCACTGAGCCAACTTTCCAGTCCAAGAATGAAAATCCTTACAGAATAAAATTAATATACAAGGCCCAAAACAAAATTCAACTTTAATTCTCTTACTCTTTTTGTTGTTGTTGTTGTGTTGGTTTTTTTTGAGACAGGGTTTCTCTGTATTGTTTGAGCCTGTCCTGGACCAGGCTGGCCTTGAACTCACAGAGATCCAACTGCCTGTGCCTCCTGAGTGCTGGGATTAAAGGCGTGCACCACTAACACCCGGCTTAATTCTTTTGCTCTTATCATCTAAATTTTCAGTACTACTGATTGGGACCTAACTGTTTAAGGCAGTAGAATATTTCAACATTAGAACAATTTTTTTAAAATACAAGGTGATATCATTTAAACAAATTTTTAGACAACAAAATTCAGTTAGACAGCTGTTCCACTATTGTGTTATTATTCATACTATTGACCCTGCTTGTCCCTCTTTTGGTTTTTAAAAGCTACAAGGAAAAGAAAGAACTTGGGAATACAGACTTCATATCTATGACAGACTGACTCACTTTCTGGAATAGAATAGAATGTGCAAAAGAGAAGCAGGTTTCATTGTAAGAATGTTTTCTCCTTTGATCAGAAATTCTAGGAAGCAAAGATGTCTTTGTCACTTTCCTCACTCAGATTTTATTTATGTGTGTGTGCTCATGAACACAACTGCTGGCAGACATGGGCGCTGGGAACTGAGTAAGAACCACACTCAGGTATGGGACAAACAGGAAGCACTTTTAACTGCTGGTTACCTACATCTCTGAACAGATCCCCATGCTTATACTGGGCTAGTGCTGCTCCTACGGCAGAGCATGTGCCCATAAGTGGGTCAAAGGCTGAGTGGCATAGAATGGAAACAGCACTTTAAAGTACAAGAGTCGGGTTTTAGCTCTGGCTCTGTAATCTTGGGAGGCTTTTTCCTAATTTATTTGAATTATTATTGTGTTCATTTTGCAAGCACACGAACATGCAGAGATCAAAGGACAACTTTAGGGAGCTGGTTCTCTTCTTCCTCCATGGGTTGTTCTGGGATAAAGTTCAAGTTCAGAGGAGTTAAAAGACTTGCATGGAAAGGTGCTGAAGTGCAAGGCTGACTAACCTGAGTTTGAAGCTTGAATTCCAGATTACAGTAAATAACCTTTGCAAATGTGTTGCACCCTTCCCCCATGGGGGTCTGCTGACCAGTTTGTGACTAGGAGCTTCTAGCAAAATACCTCTTGTCCTCTCCTCCCAGTACAGCCTGAAAGCAAGTTCCTGTTTTCTGCCCATCCTTATTTATTGTCTAAATTCAAGTTCCTGTTGTCTGCCCATCCTTTGCCAGAGGGCCCTGGGAATGTGAGCTGCTGACCTTGGTAGTTTTCCACCATGCCTGCTACTGGTATTTAATGCTCTACTCTTGTTACAATAAATATCATTCTCCTTGCAAGAATGACCTGCTGTCTTTGTCTTCATTTAAATCCTTAGCCCTTCTCCCAGATCATTGTGAAGTGCTGTAGCCCCAAAGCACTGTAACCTAACCATTCGCTACACAAATGTCTATGGCAGGTATTTGTACACCAGGAATTCACTATTAGATTAGTAGGAGCTATCACCACACCCATCTCTGGATAGCCTGTCTCTATCATATGACTTGAGAACATTGTTTCCATGTAACAAGGCCCTTAACAAATGTGCTTCTGAGAAACATTGTCTATGGAAACACTGAGGTCCGTTAGTGTCACTATTTTTTTGTGCCATACATCATGTGCATGTCTGCACTATATGGGAGAAGCAGAAGGATCAGGAGTTTGAGGCCAGCCTGATGCAAAACAAAACAAAAAAGTGAAACAAAGAAAAACAAAAAGTTTTATCTGAAAGACTAAGACATCTCTAATACATAGTTTTTAAATGAGCAGACCTCCTTTAGATTTGAACAGGAAGCAAGCTGGGTGTGGTGGCTACACAGAGGCAGACCCTGTCTCAACAATCCCTGACCCCACCACAAAAGGTTAAGTTGAAGCTAAAGTCTAAGACTGGGATAACCTCAGTAGAGCACTGGGCCAGCAATGAGCTCCTGTGTGCATTATGACTAATGATGTATTGAACTTCCATTTTTGTTAAAATTAAACAATTCTGATGCTAGAAATAAAGATAGCTTAATTAAACACCTACACCTGTTTAAGGAAATAGGTCTGCTTATTAAGATTTTAATTTTTTTTTTGAGACAGGGTTTCTCTGTATTTTTTTTTTTTTTTTTTTTTTTTGGTTTGTAGCTTTGGAGGCTGTCCTGGAACTCGCTCTGTAGACCAGGCTGGCCTCAAACTCACAGAGATCCGCCTGCCTCTGCCTCCCGAGTGCTGGGACTAAAGGTGTGCGCCACCAACGCCCGACTCTCTGTATTGTTTTGGAGGATGTCCTGGAACTAGCTCTGTAGACCAGGTTGCTCTCAAACTCAGAGGTCCGCCTGCCTCTGCCTCTTCAGTGCTGGGACTAAAGGCGTGTGCCACCAATGCACGGCTACTCTTTTATTCTTACAGACTTCAAAATACCATTTACTTTCTTCTACTTAGCCTAGCCAAATTCTTTTCTTCTTTCCCTTCTTCTCTACCCCCTTCCCTATTTCTCTTACTTTTCTCTCTCACATAGCTAATGCTGGCCTCAACTCTCCATGCAGCCAAGGATGACCCTAAATTCCTGCTCCTTCTGCTTCTGTTTCCCATGTACTTGGATTCCAGAAATGCAGTGCCACAGTATTAATGCCTTAAACCTCAATCTAAAAAAAAAGGCAGACATATGGAGGAAAAAGGCAGATAGAGCTCTTCTGTGAATTTGATGTCAGCCTGGTCCACATAGGGAGTGGGGGTAAGGAGGGAGGGAAGCAGGAGAGAGGGGGGAGATGGGGGGGAAGAGAGATTCCCCTGCCTCTGCCTCCTAAGCGCTGGGATTGAAGGCCTGTACTACCACCTCCTGTCTTAAATATTACTTCTTTATCTACCCTCCAGCATTCCTACTAAAGGGGGGAGGTCTTAATTCCATAAAATAGTTTAAAAGTAAAATTTACATTCAACATAATTTTTGCCATCATTAAGGTCAATATGATTCAATGTATTGGGGGATACAATTTTGCATAGAACTAGTAATTTCAAAGTAAGGATAATGCACCACTAAGATCAGATTCAACCTAAACTATGTTTACATACCACCACAGGATGCAACAATGCACCTTACACAACACTGCTCTGGAAACACATTCCTTTGGAAAGGACTTACCATTCCACGTAAAGAGGAAGCCATGTTACATGCAGCTTTCATCTCTGCCTTCCTCGCTCCACTTCATATGTCACATGCAATTTCTCCTGCTGTGCAGGGTTAATGTCAACAGCCACTCTCAAGGGTTCCTCTCTCTGCTGCCACCTACCCGTTATCACTCTGCTGCAGCAGAAGGGCATATAGAAAAAGACCTTGCTTACTGTTCAAATTAAACAGAAGCTTTAACATTTCACAGTTCACATGTGAATCAACATTTCCATATCTTGCCCATCCCACCTCAATAATCAGGAGAAAAAACCCCAATCACAGAAAATCAAATTATGATCAATGTTCATGCTAAGCTAGGAAAATTAAAAATAGAAAGAAAGGAAGAGGAATGGATTATACACTCAGTCGTTATCTCACAAGAGCCATGTTCTGTTCTGTTATTTTCCTTCCATATGTATCCCTATGAGCTATAAATAAACACATTTAAATTTTAACTAGGTAGTCTACAAATTCCAAATTCAGAGACTACCCAAAGAACCATGGAAGACATATCAATATAAAGCCTTTAGAGTAATTCTAGAAACTAAGGGTGTTAGGTGCTTTACCTGCTTGAGATTTCAATGTTCTGGACTGCTTATTGCCCAATGGCTCTGAATACAAAAAAACACGAACACATACGCCACCTACATTTAAAATAGGGTAGCATTTGTATGCCCATATAAGCATTTGGGTATTTTGTTTTGCAAGAGTTAATATTCATTAAGTCCCTTAGAAAGGGACCATGAGTGCACATTTCCTTAAACTAATACATACACAGAAATAGAAAAAGTAGGGGGAAGGAAAAGAATGTCTAAGAATTGAGAATTCACACAGCATAATGCCTAATATTTTTTAATATAAGAGTCACTTTTATTCCCATTCTTTGTCACTGGAGCCTACATTTGAAATTCGATATTAGATACTAAGGAACTATATCCAAGAACAGACTAATAACAATAATGGCTTGTTTTTTCCACCCTCCCCATTACCTTCACCCCAATAAACTTATATACAAACTTGCCAACTTAAAACAATAAAATACACACTGACATAAGCACCAAAAAGCTGGTCAACAGCAGCACCTCAATGACATCAGTTCTACTTTCTCATTCCTTCCCCCATCTCAAACCCCACCCTTTGACCTCTGCAAATGGGATGAGCCTGAGCAGGAGAAGTTGGTGATGCCAGGACTGCGCCGTTCCCACGGATGCTCCTAGAGGCCTGCTGTGCTTCTGGGAACTGAGGCACAGGGATGTCTGTCTGACTGAAACCTAAAACAACAACAATTCACCCCACCCCTCATGTTCCCCAAATCCCAAACAGCAGCCAGGTAAATATACTATAAGGTCCACCTAGTAAGTTTGAGTAGGATAAAATCAAGATTCCTTACAAGTGGGCAGTCAGTGTTTAATGGGGCATCAAAATGGAGGTTGTTTAAACTCTCCACAACCCTGTGCAGTGCAAACACTCTACTGGTGGCCATTCTCATAGGCCAGAGAACAAAAGTCTCCTGAAGAAGTCCTTCTTAGAACACCTCATACGTCCCTGCAGGAATGCAGCTGGGATTCCTGGACAAGTAAATTTCAGTTCAGTTCAACAGGTAATTATTTAAGATGCCAGAGGATGTCCCCTATGTCATGTGTCAACTTAAGCACAGAATAGGCTAATGACTTATTGTCCTGCCTCTTTAGGTATAGAGAGAACACTGAGGCCAGGATTTTATTCACTAACTAGTGGTCTGCTGAATGTATACATTCTTTGTGTAGAACACTGCAAGCTATCAGATAAAATTCTGCCAAAAATATAAAGGGAAGGTGCTGGCTACTGTCTCTGAAAGTCTTTATTTATTTATTTATTTATTTTTTGGTTTTTCGAGACAGGGTTTCTCTGTGGCTTTGGAGGCTGTCCTGGAACTCGCTTGGTAGTCCAGACTGGTCTCGAACTCACAGAGATCCGCCTGCCTCTGCCTCCCGAGTGCTGGGATTAAAGGCGTGCGCCACCAACGCCCGGCTTGAAATCCTTTATTAAAGAGAGATTATTGCCTCAAATGTAAAATGTAAAACTAGCTTTCAGAGTGAAAAACCTTAGAAAGGACAGGAAAGGAGGAAACAGTAAGCAAACTGGGATAGACATAAAGGAAAGAGCTAACTAACAGAAGACTACCAAATTTAACAAACTGTATTTCCATTTTGCCACTAACCTTGTTTTTTCATGACCCTGGCTAATATGGTTAATCATGTTATGCTTCAAAAATACTCCCCTGTATGTTCAAATCTATAATGTGTACTCTCTAGAATTTGATGGTCTTCAGCTATTCACATATATCCATTAGGATTACTTTATCAGAAAGGCTACAGTGGTTAGCTGGGTGTTGGTGGCACATGCCTTTAATCCCAGCACTTGGGATGCAGAGGCAGGTGGATCTCTGTGAGTCTGAGGTCAGCCTGGTCTACAAAAGCTAGTTCCAGGACAGCCTCCAAAGCCACAGAGAAACCCTGTCTCAGAAACAACAAAAACAAAAACAAAAACCAGAAAGGCTACAGTGGTCAATTCTAAAATGACTGAAATGCTCTATGGGTTTCACATGCCCCTTGCACATCACTACGGCCAACTGGACACTGCATCGTACTTTAAACCACACACACACACACACACACACACACACACACACACACACACACACACATATATATATATATCCTAGAACCTAATTTACTTTACACAACTCTAGTTTTCCATACCTGTCAACTCCTAATTGATGTCTTTAAACTGTGAGCTCACTGTGTATTCGGAACACCAACCCCTGAAAAAGCTTAAGCCAGAGTAGCACAATGGAAGAGACAAACAAACCCACAACAAAACAAAGCCAAAGTCACACTCTGAAAACTTAATTATACACATATATGCAAGGAATGGAGCCTCTAAATGACTAAACAAAACCCCAAGTGCTGAGTTCATCCCAATTGATTCAAACATTATCCCACAAACTCTCCTTTAAATTACTTGCTACCATATTTATGCATTATTTGTGTAAAAAAAGAAACAAAAAAGTTATGATAAACAAATTCATGTTTGCCTTTAAAGTGTTACAGAAAGAAAACTTAAACAAAACAGTAAAATGTTAGCCTCTGATGGAAATAAAGGAGACTCCAATTACCTGCCAGCAGGCTGGGCTGTGCCTGGTCCAAGCCGCTGCCCTTGGCACCCACTGCACAGCTGCATTACTGGGGGAGGGGAAGTTTAGAAGGGCACTGACCCCAAAGCTCTCAAACTCCTCACTCATCATCAGGAGGGGGGAAGAAGGGAAGTGTTTTCTCTGAGTATTTTTTGTTTGTTTGTATTTGTATATTTTGGCTCCTGAAAAGGCTGGCAAAGAACAGTAACAGTGCAAGCAATTAGAATATTTCTTCAAAAACAATTTTAAACATGTAAAACATTTAAGGAATTTTTAAAAAACCAAACTTTAGTTAGCATAGAAGAAATTTTCACTAGAGTTAGGCAGCCACCTGAGGAGGCATGGCAAAGTGCACTGGGGTAAAGTAAATAAAATACCACACAAACGCTAAAACAAAACGAAGACATTTCAAATCTAATCTAGAAGAGTAGATGATTCCAACAGCAGACTTCTGTTCATCACTAAAACATTCCAAATCCAAGGTACCTAATTGTATTTTAAGTGAAACTTTTTCTTTTCCTTCTTTTTTTTTTTTTGAACAAAAGAAATCAGTGAACCTGGTTATAAATCCTATGATATATTACATTTTTAAAAAAATGATAGCACAATAAAAGTAAATTTAAATAAAACTGAACAAACAGACAAACAAACAGCAGCAGAGGTTACCTGTCTGAGCACCTACATTTTCTTAGGAGGGGATCGTGTCTCACCAGCCACATAGCCCATAAACCTTCTCAAAACAGCGAACCAGGAGAAAACATAACACAAGATTTGATTTCACAATGTCTCTAGTACCCCCAACCCCAAGCTGGGGGTTCACTGAGAAGAGATTTGCTTTTCCATTGTTTTCTTCTTGAGAAAAAGATGACTGAGAGTCAGTGGCCTTTTCCAATGCCTTCGGTACTTTTCGTAAAGTCTGATAAAGTGCTTGATGAAAACAAAGTCTCTTGTTGGATTGTTTTCTAACGTTCCAGGGCAATTTCTTATTGATAACATAAAGAAAGATTTCAAAGTTCATTGGTGAAAAGCTAGCAGAAATGACCAATTATAAGTATTAAAAGAAAAAATACTTACTAGAAATTTTAAGTGGCATAGTTCACACCTATATATATGGAGTCCAATTTTCATCACAGATAACATAAAAACATCAGAATCATTAAAAATACAATTAACAATTACAATTTTAACAGCATATAAAAAGTTTACAGTAATTCAGAGTTTTGGCATTATTACATAGATTTGATAAATACATTTTATCTCATTGATGAAGATTATACAAAAGTTATGAAAACAATTATGAGAATAAACCAACTATCACTTGGTTTGAGTTCTTCCAGAATGATTTGTTCTTATTCTTCACCTTAATTGGGAGAATTCAAGTTGACCAACCCTGTTATTCACTCTAGTGTGAATGTAATGCCCAGAAGGTGGTTGGTGAAGAGCTGCATTTCAACTGTGGGTGATGCACAGAGTGGCATCAGTTCCACAGGGAGTGGAACTGACAGTGAAAACTTCTTATAATGGTGCTTGGTTTAGAATGGATAACTCATTTTCCTGTTTCTTTACCCCACCATAACAAAGGAATTTTTCAAATGAAGATGTTCTATTTGTTTTTAAATGTATGGACTTTTATGTGTATCTTCAAGTATATGGCAACCAGATAATCTATTTTAGGATCTGATTACACAATTTTTCATTTATTTCTCTATACCAAATAGTATGTACCCTTCAAAATATGATCATTCAGCAAAGTACCAAGTACCTTTATTGTTAGTCAATCAGAGATACTTATGATTCCCAATGACCCTGTACCAATCAAATTGTGCAGATGGAATTAGAGTATCCTAAAGAAAAATTAGAACTCCTTATGTATCTTTTGTGAGATGAAATGAGAGAGTTCACAGATTACAGGTACTATTCTATTTGTCAACAATCAACCTTCCACTCCATTTTAATATTAAATTCTATGGGGGGGAACCAAGTTTTATTACATTCTTTTTAAAATGGGGAAAACTGTACAGTTAATCATGATTGAACCTCTGTTAGAGCTGGATAACACTCATGTTTTGTTATCACCTTCAAGTCTCTAGTGTCCAAGAAATTATGTTAACGTCCATCTGAAGGAAAGCAGCACTGGAGAGGCAAAGAAAAACTTGGGGAAGCTGCAGAGAATTTGCAGGGAGATGGAGCTACTGTTTAAAAAGTATGTTGAGCCCTGTAGCATCTCCCATGTCTTAACACATCTCCCAGACTCAAACACTGGAATAGCTTTATCCTTGTGTTAAAGGCTCATATTATATGCAGACTGCGGGTTTTCATCAATTCAGAAAAGGAATACACAGTGGTCAGTACTGAAGGCTTAAGAATAGGGCTATGAGACTCAATATGTTAAGTAAATCCCAATTAAAACATCCAGTACACCTCCCTCCAAATCTTAAGTGTATAAAGAGAAAATGCATAACCACAACATTAAATAAGAACACATAGCCATGAATGAGTCATACATCAAACAAATAAACAAACAACACACACACACACACACACACACACACACACACACACACACACACACCTAAGAAGCATCTACTTTCCTAGTGTCTTTAGGGGAGTATCTCTGCACTATCTGTGTCTAAAGCAATTCAATTGTTTTCTTGTTTTAAGGAAAAAACTGTTTCCCATCATGCCATTCTCTATAATCTATTCTTTCTGTATGGTGTAAACAAAAAAAATACTGTATATTTGCATGCAACATATACATCCTCCTAAACCGTGAAAAATGCAAATACAAAAAAAACAGCATTAAGAAATCATTTCAGCTTTATGAATTTTACTTGCCTCCCCAAAATGATGTCCCTGTACTTATCCTTGAAATGTTCAACTCATCAAGAGAAAAGGTGGGCCCGGAGACTTTTAAATGTGTATGTTGAGTCAGTGTCTTGTTACCCAAAAAAAAGTAGCATTGTGTTTACTTTGGCCATTGTTAAAGATGAAGTCATAGAGCAAGGGTGTTACCAGCATGTATTAAAAATGCAACATTAACAGCATATATCTTTCAAAAAGACTAAAACACTAACAAATACAAGTCAATGCACAAACTTTAACTAGTGTAATTTTATCTACATTGAGTAAATGTTACTTTGTATACCAGACATTGCAATACTGTTCATTTCCCTTTCATCATGCAAACATGCCAATTTTGTTATTAAAAATCTTTATTGGATTATAGTCACATTACCCTCCCACCCAAATTAAGGGGGGGAAAAAACAAGGACAAACATGAAGATAAGAAATCCCGGTCAGAGCCCCTTAAGAGTTCATAAACAACTATGTGCATTTAAATGCTAGGTGAGAGAAACGGCAGAATTTTCAGATTGTTACTAAAACATTTCTGTATTTTAAGCAGATGCTCCTCTTGAACCTTCCTGAAGTCATGCTACCAAGTACTTGAATCAAGACCATTCTACATAAAAACAAAAGCTAGAGACCATGGAGAAAGAAACTTTCATGTTCCTCATGGCCTAAGAGTAGGGTTTTAGTAACTGAAAAGGTTACTAAGAGAGCCTGCCATTTCTCTGCATATCACCTCATATCACCTATTCTTCCTCTCTGAGAATCTGTAAATGAGTCAGGTAAGTATTACTATCAGAGGTCTCATCTATTTTCCCTTCTAACCAATCTTACTATACTTTTCTCTCAACCTCCTGAGCATTCTCCATGAACAGCATTGCAAGTTGGTTAAAAGAGGAACGGGGATGGGGTGAGGGGAGACAGTTTTACAGGGGTTTTGTTGGTTAATTATTTACCGGTGGACTCACTCCACCAGGAGTTTGATTTCATTGGCTAACAGCTGGTTCATGTTGAACAGCCCCCCTGGGAGCTTGGTGAGCATCTCTCGCTCGGTGGTGCTTTCAGGGTCGCTATCGACAGAGCTGGAACTTGCGCTCATGTTGTCGACAGCAGCGCTGGCAGGGGGACCGAGCTCCGGCTCACTAGTCTCACTGGCCGTGGACACCACAGAGAGCAGGGACATGCGCCGGGTGAGCCGGCCAGCGGGCAGAAGGGAGGCAGCATAGTCTGCTATGATACCAGCTACATCTAGATTACAAGCCTTATCAAAGGCGATGAAACCTACATTTGCATTGGCCTCGCAGACACAAAAGGAGCCGTCGTCTTTCATCAGCAGGTCAATACCACAGACATCCATTCCCAGGATATTAGACACCTGGATAGCTAGCTGCTTCCCTTGTTCACTTAGTGAGCACATCATCCCCACACCACCTGGCAAACAAAAAAGGTAGAGAGTTACCAACTTCTGTAGTACAATTAGTCATCCCTCTTCTAAATAGGTAATGAAACAATGCCAAGAGTATAAAACTGGTTTTTGTTTTGTCCCATTAAGACTAAATCATAATTATTTAATCCAGACTTCCCCACTCATGATCTTTTGCCTCAGCCTCCTGAGTGTTGGCACTATATATAGGCATCCACTACTAAATCTGCCAGAGCATAGATGAAAGTAAAGTGAGAAAGAACTTACAAGAGAAAGTCTTAAAAAGACATTAAACTTTCCTTAAGGTCTATTCTGCCTGTGATAACATGCACCAAACATTGTCCCTCAGCATCACATTGGTTTCCAGACCTCCCATCCCCATCAGACACCAAAATCTACAAATGGTCACAAGCCCTTGACAGAGTTTGTAGTGCCTACAACCTGCTACATATCTTACATATCTTTAATCAGCTCTATAGTACAATACCTGATACAATGGAAACACCCAAGAGCTGTAAGATGTTACTGCTTAGAACAAAGATAACATATGTTCAATACTGAAGGCAACCACTGTAGGCTCAACATCCCAGTTCACACACTCAATTCAAACAACGCTGGAAGAGTACCAGGAGAGGATGAGGGTCCCAGGAGACTAAAGTGGAGAAAGACTATTGGTTGATTCTTGCCAATTTAGTGTTTGGCTTCTGCAATGTTTTCAGGAACCTTTAGGAAGCACACACACACACACACACACACACACACACACACACACACACACACACACACACACACACACACACACACACACACACACTGACCTCTAGTCACCAACTCTGGACTGTTTAATTGCTTTGTTTTGGTCTTGTATTTTAAGACCTCAGTTGAATCATATGAATCGGCAAATATGGAAGATTGTGTTAAAAATGTCTGTATAAATATAATTAGACCATCTGATTTTTAAAAAATAATTAGCTTATTTTTATTTCATGCACATTTGTGTTTTTGCCTCCATGTATGTCTCTGTGAAGGTGTTGGATTCCCTGAAACTGGAGTTACAGGCAGCTCAGATCCACCATGTCGGTGCAGGGAAATGAATCCAGGTCTTCTAGAAGAGCAACCAATGTTCTTAACCACTGAGCCATTTCTCCAGTCCACCAACTGATTTTATATATAACAAGTGGAGAAGCCCAGCGAATTAGCAAGTTTGAGGCAGCTTGGTTTACAAAGCAGGTTCCACATAGCCAAGGCTACATAATGAGATTCTTGTCTCAAATATAATTAACTTAATTCAGCCATAAAATAGGAACAAAGGATGGTGCACATACTGGAATATGCAATCCAAATATGGCACTATTTCTCTATTGGTTCTACTCCAGAGTTTTTACATCACTAGCCAAATATATAGGTAAGGCTTAAGCTTTGCTAGTATAGAGTGAGAGTAAGGAAACATAATAGCATCTCACTTGGAGACTAGCTTCAAGAAGACTGGAAAGCTCAGAAACCTGACAAGATTTGGGTGTAGCAGCTCTGAACATCCACAGGAATGTCATACATAATGGCCAATGTAAACAGACAAATGAAACTAAGTCTTCATGATTACCCAGTGGTTGGAAAGGTAAGAAGAGTCCAGGGACCAGTATGGTTTCCCAGTACCTGGAGTGCTAAAGGAATTTGAAATTCTCCAAAAACAAATTTGAATAAGCCAAGTATGACAAGATAAATACCTAATACAAGAAAGAATGCTCTAAAGAAAATTCAAGTTCAGCAACAACAAAAAAAGGAACTCAGATCCACCTGCCTTTGGAGTGCTAGGATTAACTGTTTGCACTACCACTGCCCAACAGAAAGGAGATTTTCTGAAGCTAAAACAAAATGATTAGCAACTCAACATTCAATGGAGGAAATGAAGGACAGTACAGTTGTTTTCATCAGCACAATGCCTGAACCTGAATCTACTGCTGTTTCAGCCAGTAATTGTGGCTCCAAATCACTTATGTCCCACTGGAGCTGCCTCCTGCTGCTGCCACCAAATGGAGTTTTAACCAAACCTCTATTGTTCTATTATCTAAAAGGTTCGGAGTCAGGGGCTGGGATGAAAGCCTGCTAGCTCAGAAGTTGAGGCACAAGTAACTGACCTTCCCTCTTCAGGCATCCCAGAAAGAAAGCATCCTTCCACTCCATCCAAACCAAAGAAGACTGTCCCACTCAAGTCCTTCCCTACTTCCTGTGCATCTATCCATCTCCCACACTCCCTCTGGCTCCTGATTACTCTGTCAACTAATTGCTAGCTCCTCCTTCTGTCCCCCAAGGCTGATTTTATTTAATTCATGCAAATGCAAACTTGGGGTTCACAGTGACTGAATATCCTGTGGACTTACAGTTACTTGTGAAAGTTCACTCAGAAGTGTGGTGAAAAGGCAGTTGAAAGACTGAGGCAGGAGAATTCAGGATCAGTCTAGGCTGCCCAGTGAGTTCAAGGTCAGCTTGGACTATCCATTAAGACCCTGTCTCAAAAACAGAACAAAAAAACAAAAAAAGCAGAGTAAATCAAATATAGACAAAAAAATAAAATACAGACCCCCCCAAAAAAAAACTTAAAATGAAATCATAAAACAAAGTAGGAGATCTGGGAACTGAATCAGAAAATAAATCTTCCAGGAGGAGATAAATAGATGGAAGAGAGGGGGATAAGAGAGAAATAGGGAGAGTACACTGGAGAAATGACTCAGCAGTTGGGAGCACTGACTGCTCTTACAGAAAAACCACATGGTAGCTCACCACTGTAACTGCACAAACAAAACATATACATAGCCAGGTGATGGTGGTGCACACATTTAATCCCAGCTCTTGGGAGGCAAAGGCAGATGAATGTCTGTGAGGTAAGACTAGCCTTGTCTACAGAGGGAGTTACAGGGCTACACAGAAAAACCCTGTCTGGAAAAACCAAATCAATCAATCAAACAAACAAACAAACAAAAAGCCCACTTTATAATTAAAAAAAAAGAGAAATTTCTAGAACTTGTAAACAGCTCCCTAAATGGGATTGATCACAGGCCTTTAAATCCTAGCACTGGGTGATGTGGCAAGGCCCACTTTGATGGCTCAGTAGTTGACAAGGGGACCGATGGAGGAAGAGAGGGGTAAGGAGAGCAAAAGTGGCTTAAATGGCTTAAATAGAAATAAAAAAGTTTGTGCTCGATTTGGAAGCACATATACTAAAATTGGAAGATTAGCATGGCCCCTGTGAAAGAAATGAAAAAGTTCAAGTTACCACAAAAAATAAATTCATAATCGGTGAAATCTGATTCAAGAAGGAGAAAACTAAGAATGCTGGTAGAACTACAATTTCCATGTGGAAAACACACTCACTTTATATACCAAAAAAAGATACTGCATTGTCTTTACCTAGTGAACAATTGCTTTGCATTCTTCCGTCTGTCGAACAACGTAACATGGTGCCAACAACACGTCCTCCCACAACAATGACTCGTACATCCCTTCCATGAGACTCTTTAATGTATTTCTGGAACAGATAAGGAGCTTCATGCCGAATAAGATGGCTTAGATCAGCTAAATGGTGTTTATCTCGTGCCAAGAAAACAGCTTTGCCTAGGATTTAAAAAGAAAAATGTACAAATACATGCAAGTCATAAAACTGTAGATAGTTATAAATATACATTCTTGGATCCCAAAATACTTTTAGAACCAATTATACTTGTATACTTTTAGAGTACTCTTTGTTATAACTATTGATTAAAGTAATTTAGTTATAATTAGTAAGATAATATGAAAAACATATGGGGTCAAACTTAATAATCACCTATTATTTCCCCAAACAAATTCTTATGAATAACTATTCCATTTGGGTTTATGAGGAAGAGGATCCACATTATATTTCTCCAAAGGTTAGCCAATGTTAGCCTCATTCTTAGCAAACTCCTTTCCTTTGAGTTAAAACAGACATAAATTATTACATGTTAGCATTTTATTATTACAACACAGTAACATAGTGATATACTTAAATTTGTTTCTGCATTCTCCAACCTGTCCCCTTGCCCTATTTATTTTTGTTCTAATGGAGGTATATCTCTTTTTTTTAATTTATTTTTATTTAATGGTCAGTGGTGTGAAAGTGTCACATCCTCTGGAACTGGAGTAAGCTGCCGTGTGTGCTGGGAATTGAACCCAGGTCCTTTGGAAGAGCAGTCAGTACTCTTAACTGCTGTGTCATCTCTCCTCCAGCTCCAAAGGTACCTCTTTTTAACGTATGCTGTAAATTCTTCTCTGGGGGCTGACTCTATGTCCCTTTTTGTTGCCTTCTAACACTAAGTCAAGGAGGTTATACAGCTTGTTTAGTGAGCATTCACTATAGGAGATCCCAGATACTTAGCTATCATATTAGAGAAGTCAAACAAACAACAAAGTCAATGGCTCTAGATAAGTTTTGATCCGTATGTCCCAGTCAAAGTATTATATATGTCTTATCCTTTGGATTATTACATTCTCTGCTAAAAATTCTTTAGAAGGGTCTATCACTGCAACAGGAATCAGACTGGCTCAGGAGTGGCTGAAAATCCAATGGCTAGGAAGCATTCTGGTTAGAAAGAGACAGCTGTCCTATTTTTGGAAAAAACCAAGAGTACTACAAATACACACCAATGATATTTAATGAGCTCTGTATATGGAGAAAATGACCAACAACTGGGGTCAGTAGAAAGGCAAAGTAGGATATATATAAAATGGTCCACAGCTAACACTTTTGGCATAGACATCTTATGGTAATAAACCTTAGTTTAGCCAACTTACTATGGCAATCTCTTAGCACAGTACAAGTTTCTGAAAACTATGTTCTTCAAAGAGAATTAAGAGTATATTGTATATACTGATAAATACTGGGAAAAGACAACTAAACAGAGACCCAGCAAAATAACATTCTCAAAAGGATGAGTAAAGAAAGATGTATTGTTTGCCAAGTAGTGGTGGCATACACCTTTAATCTCAAGACTAGGGAGGCAGATTCCAGCAGATCTGAGTTTGAGGCTAGCCTGGTCTCATATTGAGTTCCTGTAGGTTCAGCCAGGACTACATGGGAGAGAGGGAGGGAGGGTGGGAGGGATTACAGATAAATGAACACTCTGAGCCTGAGGGTAAAAATGCACAAAACATTAATTTGACTTTGGATGTTGGGGTCAAGAATTTTACAAGACTGGGAAAATGAGTAACACAGAAACTGGTATCACGTGTTCTGCTCATTGCCGTGACTGCTCCTGATGTAGTTAAGGAACCCTCTGGAAATGTAGGAAGATACATGCTAGAGATGTGCTTTCTATGTCAGCTCTAGGAACTCAAAAGCAGATTATGCTCATGAAGTTCCTGATAGCAATGAAGACTACTGGTAACTGAAATATGCTGGTAGTCAATAAACATGTCAGAGGAACAGCAGGTGGCAATTAATATTCAGGTGTCAGCCAGTCAACTCTCTGATGGGAATGTCTCATTCAAGTGAGGCTTATGAGAATATAGACTCCAGAATGTCTTTTGCTTATGCTGTGTTTTCATACTGTTGCTACTACATGTTCTTCTCTAATATCTGATATGATGCAATTATACGTGAGGAGTCCCCTACTACCTGTATTGTAGGGTTTATATCATGATTATATCTTGATCTACTGGACATATTTATATCTGGAGATTGCAGGGAGATGCTGTATCATTTTGACAGTCAGAGCCTATTTGAGTTCCACTAGAAAGCTGCTTAATCACAGCACAAATTTTCTACTAACCAGGAGCAGACTGGCTCAAATTCCTTTAATCTTTATGCTAAAATATAACATCACAGGTTTCTTGTATACCATTAAGTGATCCTAGCTTCAAAGTAGCTTTAGATTAGACCACATGCCTTGCTAATGGTTATTTATTTACTTATTTATTATGCATACTGTTTTTATCTGTGTACATGCTTGTAGCCCACAAGAAGGCATCAGACCTCATTATAGATGGTTGTGAGCCACCATGTGGTTGCTGGGAATTGAACTCAGGACCTCTGGGAGAACATGCACTGCTCTTAACCTCTGAGCCATCTCTCCAGCCCACTAATGGTTTTTAAGATAAACTATTTCTAGGAAAAGCAGTTCAGTTCTAAAGGACAGATAACCCAGCAGTCTGATTAGTCAAGCTTGTTAAATCTCTACCATAACCTCTAAACAGAAAGCATCTTACCAAGGTGAACTTGTAGAAATCTACAAATTTGTGGTCTTGTTGGTTGCTCTTCAATTGTTAATTTGCAAAAGCAATTTCAAAGCTAGGTACCATATCCACAATCTTACATACCTCTATGACCCCGTGTATTCTTTACTACCATTGGGAACTCCAAAACTTCTGCTTCATCAATCATTTTAGCAAAATTTTCATGACCACCTGGTTTGAAGAAAAAATAAATTTAAGACCAATGGCAAAAGTATGTGAGCACAGGACAAGGGAGGTGGAAATAAGAGACTGATGGCAATGTCTGTTTGTCTTGAAGAAATTATATGTAACTGGCAATCCATTGAAAACTTTTGCCGGGAGTTGGTGGCACATGCCTTTAATCCCAGCACTTGGGGGAGGCACAAGCAGGTGGATCTCTGTGAGTTAGAGGCCAGCCTGGTCTACAGCCTCCAAAGCAATACAGAGAAACCCTGAAGAAAAGAAAAAAAAAAGCAGCACTTTTGGGTGCCAAAGAAATGGCTCTGTAGTTAAAAGCACTGACTACTCTTCATGATGACTCAGCTTAATTCCCAGCACCCACACAGCAGTTCTCAACTGTCTAAAACTCCCGTTGTAGAGGATCCAACACCCATTTCTGGTCTCCACTATCATCAGTCACCTGGTGCCTAGACATGCAGATAAAACACCCACACATAAAATAATTTTAGAAGTTTAAGAACTGCACTGTGTGCAGAGAGATGGTTTCAGGTCTCACACTAAGATTCTGCCCACTTCTGAAATGATTTTTCTGCAGGATGAGAAATTGGGGTTTAGTTTCTTCTATTTGTGACTGTCTTTTCTCCAATGCATGTTCTTGGACATTCTTTTTGTTGAGAATCAGATAGCTGTAGCTAAATGAGTCCTCTATTCCATGAATATGTCTGTTTTAGAGTCAGTGCTTCTGTTTGTAACACTAGGAATTTAACCCACAGTTTCATATATGCTAAGTAAGCAAAGATTACAGCCCTCTTTTTATTTTTTAACTCTAAATAAAGTTTCACTAAGTTGCCAAAGCTGGCCTTGAACTCACTCTGTAGTCCAAGCTGTGCTTCAACATGTGATTCCCCTGTCCCTACCTTCTGAGTAGCTGGGTCCAGCATGGTTCTGTTCTTTGTTTTGTTTTGTTGATTATTCCAGACTGGGTTTCTCTGTATGGTTCTGCCTGTCCTGAACTTGCTATGTAGACTAAGCTGTTCTTGAACTCAAGAGATCTGCCTGCCTCTGACTCCCAAATGCTAGAATTAAAGGTGTGCCCTACTACAGCTTGGCTAATCTTGCTTCTTACTGTCTTCACTGCTCAGAAAAAAAAAATGGTCTGTAATTATAAAAAGATTAAATATGACAATAGGAAAAATTAAGCCAGGAAAAGGCTTAGAACAATTCACAATTTATAGAAATTAAGATTATTCCCTTAAAAATTCCTCACCATTAAAGGTATAATTCACAGCCTAGTGAGTTCTTTTCTCCTTCCCAAACTAAGATCCCAAGAGCATTAGGAAATCAGTCTTTAAGTGATTCACACTAATTTTGTCTGTGCAAATACTAAAAACAATAATTATATCAACACATGCCTATGGGGTTCTGTTCTTTATAGTAAGACAAGGAGTTCATTTTAAAACCTCATTAAATTTCTAAGCATTCTACTTAAAATTATCTGAAAAAAATGCCTTTGTAGAAAACTATACATCTGTAGAAAGCTGGGTATGATGGTGCAGTCCTGTAATTTTAGCAGAGACAAAGAGGCTGAAGGATGAGGAAAGCCTGGTCTGCACAGCAAGTTCAAGGCCAACAGCCTTGAACAAACAAAATTAACAAAAAAATAAAAGCATACAACTATTTTCCAATTAGAAGGGCAAGAAATCAACATGGTAATATTTATAGCAGTGTTTCTCAAAATGTGCCTCTTGTGACACTTTTGCTATTGGCAGGTGAGCAAGTCCAAAAGGATTAGAAAAATGTTCAAGTTTGTTGTAACTGTATAAATTATATTTTACTTTAGTATTGATGCACATCAATTGACCTAAAATAATCCTTTGAGCTGGGCGTTGGTGGCACACGCCTTTAATCCCAGCACTCGGGAGGCAGAGGCAGGCGGATCTCTGTGAGTTCGAGGCCAGCCTGGTCTACAAGAGCTAGTTCCAGGACAGCCTCCAAAGCCACAGAGAAACCCTGTCTCGAAAAACAAAAAAAAAAAAAAAAAAAAAAAAAAAATCCTTTGTCAGAGAACAGTTAATTGATACTTTAAAGCATACTGCCCATCTTCTTTAATGAGGTCATTTTCCTAAATAGTATAAAAATATTAAGTTATGAAAATGGTAACAAAGACAAGACATTAAATAGAAATACCAAACAGCTCTTTTACCTCAAACCCAAGGAAGGCCTATGGGCTAATTCTGGCCTATTGCTTGATTTTACAATGAAGTTTTATTGGAACAGAAGCATACTTGTTTAAATGGTGTACTTAGCATCCATCATGTATTCTATCAGTTAAATATGAAGTACCAAATACTGTCTGTCTATCTGTCTCTCTCCGTGTGTGTGTGTGTGTGTGTGTGTGTGTGTGTGTGTGTGTGTGTGTGTGTGTGAGTGATCAGAAGAATGCTAGGATGCTAGGTGTTTTGCTCTATCCCTAAAAAGTGCCTTATTCCCTGACAACCAGCAACACCCAGTGATCGTCCTGTCCACCATCCACAGCATCGTGGGTATAAGACATGTGGCCTTTTGTGAGTGCAGATCTGAATTCAAGTTCTTATATTTGTGAAGCAAGTACTCTTAACTGCTGAGTCATCTCTCTAGCTCCTCACATTAAACATTCGCATTTGTGATCTCACCGTAAGAAAAAGTATCTGGCAGAGGTACACCATGGCCAGCTAACTCCTGAAATGTCCAGAATTTATTAACACAATTCAGGATAGCTTGAGGTCGGTTCATCAATCGGCACCCCATCTTCTCTAGGTGGCGCAAAACAGTGATATCACTATCACTCTGCACCCATGGGGTTGGAACTCTCACTACCACCACCTGTGGGTAGGCAGAGATTAGTTCTCCATTGATCCGTAGACCTGAAAAACATAATAATGAAGCTAAAATCACCGGAAGTATGCAATAAAAGACATAGCAGATCAATTTTGTAATCCCATCACTCAGGAGTCTGAGGCAGGAGAAACTCTAAAAGTTCAAGGCCAGGACTAGGTTAGAGGGAAATAACTATGACAGGGTAAGACTCTATGGAAAAGCAGACAGCATGCAAGAGCAGAAACAAACAAAAAGTGGCACATACAGAAAACACCAATAAAAAGGCCTTTGGCACAAACTTCACTATACTGGACTTAGCAGGGAAATTAATCTCAGAACCTGATAATCATGGCAATCATCCAAAAAAGAAAAATAATTTTAAAAAGAGATTATCCAAAACCTATAGGATGGCAACAAGAAATGTAATTCATATGTAGCATAAATTACATGTAACTGAAAAATAAACAGAAGTATTTTAAACAATAACTGGCATTTTCTCAAATTAATGTCAGGTGCCAATTCAGAGCAGAAAGTTCATAAAAAAGCAGAAATATTAATACCACATACATCTAGGAGAACCACATGTGGTACCCCAAGCTACTAATCTCAGCACTGAGGGTGGAGAAAGGGTATCAGATGTTTGAGAGCAGCCTGGTATAACGGCATCTAACTTTGCCAGTGTATTTGTGTTAGTAGCCACACCCCTTTGGGCATAACTTCAGGTACAGACAGAAGCTGAAAGAGGAAAGAGTCTCTTTCTCTTGGGTTGTGGATCTGATCAGAAGGATAGAGAAACGATGCAGTTCTTTATTATTACCTGTGTTATGTTCTCCCCAATAACTACCCATTTATCATTTATCCTGGGTCTAGTGAAATCATTACACCCATGCTGTCAGCCTGGTCTATAATACTCCACATTATAAGCATGTAGAATTAAGGCAGCCTTATATTAATTATAAGCATGTGGAATGAGGAAGCCTGGTCTACAACACTCTACATTATAAGCACACAGAATGGAAATCTACCACCGGTTTGATGAAGGTTGTTTTCATTCCCTGGTATGTCAATTCTGAAAACAAGGAGCCTTGTTATCAAATGTGGTGGCTTTGAGATGAATCAGGAACCTGAAGTCAAAACCACAGCCAGTAAAACTAAGAGATAAGCAAGGAAAACATAAAACTGGCAGCCCAAGGACAGAAACTCACAGGCATATTGGGCCAATCAACTCCACTTTAGTGTAACAGTATAGTTTTTTGTTTTGTCACTTTGTAATTAGGTATATACTGAGGAAAATGTTCCAAAGGAAAATCTTGAAACACATTTTCAATAAAAAGTTTTGTGAAAGCTATTTCATCACCTCCCTTAAAGAGGGTGGCATTTAATATAGTCGCCAAGGCTGAAGAGTTGACTCAACAGTGAAGAGTACTTGTTGCTCCTGTAGAGGACCAAGGTTCAATTTCCAGTATCAACATGGGATCCAATGAACTTCTGTGACCTCCACAGGCACCAGGCATGCATGTGGTACACATACATACATGCAGATAAAATACCCACACCAAAAAAAAATAACCTAATATTAAAAACATATAAGACTAAAAATGGGAGCTGGAGAGTTGGCTCAATGGTTAAGAGCTCTTCCAAAGGACCTTATGAACTGAGTTCAATTCCCAGCATCCACATGGTGGCACAAGGATCTGATGCCCTCTTCTTGGATGCATACCTCATGCAGACAGAGGTCTCATACATTAAAAGAAAAAGAGACAAAATGGCTGGATCCACAAGTCCATGAATGAAGGATCCTTGCCCACAGTTAAATGTGGGTTTTACAAGATAATCTAACCTAAAGCCGGGCGTTGGTGGCGCACGCCTTTAGTCCCAGCACTCGGGAGGCAGAGGCAGGAGGATCTCTGTGAGTTCGAGGCCAGCCTGGTCTACAGAGCGAGTTCCAGGACAGCCTCCAAAGCCACAGAGAAACCCTGTCTCGAAAAACCAAAAAAAAAAAAAAACAACAACAACAAGATAAACTAACCTAGTTAAGAAGACGCCTCCCTGCACACCTTTAATCCCAGCACTCGTGAGGAGGCAGGCGGATCTCTGTGAGTTCAAGGCCAGCCTGGTCTACAGAGCGAGTTCCAGGACAGCCTCCAAAACAATACAGAGAAACTCAGTCTTGGAAAAAAAAAAAAAAAAGATGCCTCCCAGTAGCACATCTCCTAGGAAATTCTAGATCTTGTGAAACTGACAACACTAACTGTAAGAGTGATGCCCTGATGGCCAAGTCATCCCAAATTTTGGTTTCTTAGGGATAGGTTCTTTCTTACTCTGTAGCTCATACTGGCCTTGAACTCTGGCCTCCATGAACCACCATGTCCAGGTTATTTTCTGAGCACATGTGAACCATTAGAAATCCACGTATCACCAGCTGAGTCAAATCCTTTTTGTTTGTCTTGTGTTTTGAGACAGAGTCTCTGTGTAACCACTCTGGCTGTCCTAGCACTCTCTTTGTAGATTAGGTTGGCCTAGTAGTGCTCCACCTGCCTCTGCCTCCTGAATGCTGAAATTCAAAGCATGTACACTGCTGGCTTTTTCAAAATAGGTTATTTCAATTAATGCTGCAGATACATATAAAGGAAAGTAAAATGAAAATGACATGGAAAATAATTCATCAACATTACTCCATTAGTTAATTACAAATTTCCTTACAAGTACTTTTTTGTTTGTTTGTTTTTTCCTTACAAATACTTTTTAGAAAATGAATTTAAATTTTGCAGATAAGCAAAAAATACTATTTTGTTTGTTTTCTAAGACAGGGTTTTTCAACACTCAGGGGAGGCAGAGACAGGTATGGTTCTAAGTTCCAGGGAAAAACAAAACAAAGAGAGACAGGAATTAAATGTGTATGCCACCATGCCTGGCAGAAAGTCAAAAATTTTTTTTTTCGAGACAGGGTTTCTCTGTGGCTTTGGAGGCTGTCCTGGAACTCGCTTGGTAGTCCAGGCTGGTCTCGAACTCACAGAGATCCGCCTGCCTCTGCCTCCCGAGTGCTGGGATTAAAGGCGTGCGCCACCAACGCCCAGGAGAAAGTTAAATTTTTATAAAAAAATATTGTCTTTTTTTTTTAACATTTCCTTTCCACTCCTTCACACATAATACAGTTTAGGAAATACTAATGTCCTATGTCTCTGTACAGACTTCCTGTGAGTGGTGGCACTTATCTCCAGACATTTAAACTCACCACATTCCAAGCAGAATCTGAAAGAGCACTTGTAGTCTTACCCAGATTGCCTTGTTCAACTGTCAGCACCACCTCGTCCATCACCACAGCCCTGAAGTCCAGCTCCTCCTCACAACATTTGGCCTTCAGAGCTCGTAAGATCTCCTTTTGTGGATAGTCATCTCTGATTCGTCGATCAGTCAAAAACCACAGTTTGGCAGCCATGGAGCTACACATCTTGGATCTGATGCTCTTCCTTTCCTGGATTATTTGAAAGTAAACTTAACTAGATGGAAAAGAAAGCATACATGAGACTGATGAAGTCATACAGAGTTATAGATTTCACAAATACGCATAGCTTTATGCTAACTAAACAAATAAGAAAGAAAACACTTCCAGCTAACTTGAGTATTGGGGTGGGGATGGGGAGAAAGTCAGGAAGATCAGGAGCTCAGCTCAATGTCATCCTTAGCTATATAGAGAATTTAAAGCCAGCCTCAGTAAGAAAAACAAAGGAGAACTACCATGCCTTCTCCCCGCTGGCATTCCACTAAAAATATGGACATCCTGGAGAAAGATTTCTCCATCTTCCCTGGGGAAACTGGCAGTACAACAGGTCACACAGCATACGTCCCTATATTAATAATATTATATAATTCTGTCTAGGAATACACTTAATCTGATTACCTGTTTGTGACCTGGTGTCACATGTGGGCAACAGGCATGTACAAGGTACAAAGATGTACATGCATAATAAATAATAAACCTAAAAAAATTTTAATGACATAAAATCTAATTTGCTTCCTGGTATAAAATGGATCATATTAATAAAAATGACAGTATTTGGGACTGGAAAGCAAATGGGATCTCGGGATTAAAAGCCTAAGCCTTATTTTTTATTCTTTTAAAAATTTAAACATTTTTCTATTGATTTATTATTAGTGTGCTTGTGCGCGAGTGCAGGCTTGTGAGCACACACGAGTATATTCGTGACACAGCACATATCTATCTGGGAGTTAAAGGACAACTTTCAGGCCTCTCCTTCTAGCCTGCTCCAGGGATCAAGCTCAGATCATGATGCTTGCTTGGAAATACTCCTATGCGCTGCCGCCGAGCCATTTCACTGGGTCCCGTCTCTTTCCAGTCTTAAAAGTCTGTGGACTTTTTGGGAGGCTGAGCTAGAAGGATCACCATGAATTTAAGGCTAGCCTGGGCTACAAAGTGAGACTTTGTCTCACAGCAGCAACAAAGAAGCATTATCAGCCGGGCATTGGTGGCGCACACCTTTAGTCCCAGCACTCGGGAGGCAGAGGCAGGCGGATCTCTGTGAGTTCGAGGCCTGGCTGGTCTACAGAGCGAGTTCCAGGACAGCCTCCAAAGCCACAGAGAAACCCTGTCTCGAAAAACCAATAAATAAATAAATAAATAAATAAACAAACATTTGAAACAAACATATTACTAAGAGTGAAAAAAGAAAAGGGATGCCTTTCCCAGAGTGCTACTTCTAAGTTTGAATCATGAATCAGTCAGACAACAGTTCAGAACTGTCTTCCTGAAAAGCAAATTTTACAGTTTGATAATAAAGAGGGGAAAGTTTAGAAAGTTCTTTTTTGAGGCCAGCCTGAGCTAGCTACACAGTGAATTTCCAAGCCGGTCTGGGATATAAAATAATACCCTGTCTGCCCCTAACCCCCCAAATTTTTTTAAGTAATAAGACCTTAAAATACAGCTGTCCCTCTACCATAGCATCCTGGATGTGAGAGTGAGCTATTCTAAACTCCCAAATTCCAGCCACATTCCTCCGTTTCATCCAGAGCACACCAAAATCTACACGTTCAATGTCCTTATAGTAAAGTATGAATTATTCTGCGTAACCTACATATATCCTCTTGTACACTTTAAATCACCTCTAGATCAAATACAGTACAAGTAAATACTGTGCTGTTCAAAAAGCAAGAAAAAGCATCTTAATTGTTGGGTAATACCATCCCCAATTTTGACAAATTATAAATTACAATGATTGTACTAGTTTAAGATACTTAAATCTTAGGCAGAGGCAGATGGATCTCTGTGAGTTCGAGGCCAGCCTGGTCTACAGAGTGAGTTCCAGGACAGCCTCCAAAACAATACAGAGAAACCCTGTCTCGAAAAACCAAAAAAAAAAAAAAAAAAAAAAGATACTTATATCATTTTCCCCATATAGGATATCCTATACAGCCTACAAGTTACAAACTTATGTTCCCTTTCCTTAAACAGAAGGTTTTTTGTTTGTAGTTTTTTGCTGAGACAAGGCCTTACTATGTAGCCCAGAGACCTCAAACACAACTCTCCTGCAAAACTTTTCAAGTGTTAGGATTACAAGCATGCCACCATGCCTAGCCAAAACAATTTTTCTAGGAAGCTTTTTTTTTTCCTTGGTTTTTCAAGATAGTTTTTCTGTGTAGTCCTGGCTGTCCTGGAACTCACTCTATACTCCAGACTGTCCTCCAACTCAAAGATCCGCCCTCTGCCAGTTCAAGGCCAGCCTGGTCTACAAGAGCTAGTTCGAGGACAGCCTCCAAAGCCACAGAGAAACCCTGTCTCGAGGGGAAAAAAAGAAAAAGAAGAAAATGGCAACATATTTTCCACAAGTCTCTAGATAGCAGGTATTGTTGAAGATGTCTGACTTTATACCTGTTGAGCGTCGCCACCCAGACACCTACTACCCAGGCTATTAACCCCAGAAGCAGTCTTAGCACAGGTAGAAAAGTAAACCTTACTGAATGGCATCACAAGGGTATTGCAGGCTCAGCTCCCTGACCAGAAAAACAGCATATTTATGGAAGGCACAGATACACAGTTTATGCAGCCAGGAATGGTCAGTGTTACAGCTCCTAGTCCTGTAGCTCATTCTTGGGTCCTGGGTAGGGAAAAGGCCCATTTCTGCCTCATGTGCTCAAGATTCTGCATGCCATGTCCATAAATATTCAGATTTACTGTCTTACTGATGGCAAAGTGATCTCAATATTTACTGTTTTAAAAGATAAGTAAAATGAAATGGTTACTTTTCCTAGCATTTAAAGACGCTTGGTTGTCTAATAATGTCTGTAAGAAAATACAGGTGTAATGTAAATGTAAGCATAGTAGTCTCTCCGCCTTTTACCAGAATCTTACTAAATAGCCTCCAATTAACAATTTTTCCATCTCTATCTCCATATATTGTGAATACAAGTGTGCACCATGACAGCCTGCCTACTCATTTCCTTATATTGTAAATTTGGGTCAACTAATTCCTATCACTGTTTTATTTCTTCCAGAGTATCAAGGAAAATAATGCATAAACACCCAGTTATAAACTCTAGTGAAAAGGGTAGGTTTTAATTTAATTTTAATGTGTATGAGTAATTTGCCTGCATGTTTGTTATGTGCACCATGCCCATGCCTGGTACCTATGGAGGTTAGATGGCAGATAACTTGGAAAGAGGAGTTACAGATGGTTGTGAGCTGCCATGTAGGTGCTGGGAACCAAACCTTGGTCTACAAGAGTACTAAGTAGTCTTCTCTGCTAAGCCACCTACAGACACTTTGTATCTGGCAGTTTTCCCTTGCAAGCTCAGCACCAGCATGCCAAAAAACAAACAAAATAAACAAACAAAAACAACTGCCTAGAATACAAGTCTAAAGAAATGAAGTTCCGCCGGGCGTTGGTGGCGCACGCCTTTAGTCCCAGCACTCGGGAGGCAGAGGCAGGCGGATCTCTGTGAGTTCGAGGCCAGCCTGGTCTACAGAGTGAGTTCCAGGACAGCCTCCAAAACAATTCAGAGACACCCTGTCTCGAAAAACCAAAAAAAAAAAAAAAAAAAAAAATGAAGTTCCTCACTTACTTTATCATGAGAAAGTCACTGTTTCAGTGTTTGAGACTGCCTAGGTTATTTTTTTAAAGAAAGTTCAATCTGGCCTACCTCAATCCACCCTACTTCTGCCTTAACCCCATTCCCCAGTGCTGGGAATACAGGCAAATGTTACCATACCTAGCTCTAGAGTCCTTTAAAAAAATATTTTAGGGCTGGACAGATGGCTCAGAGGTTAAGAGCACTGGCTGCTGTTCTAGAGGACATGGATTCATTCCCAGCAACAACGAGGGGGCTCACAAACATCTATAATGAGATCTGGGGCTCACAACTATCTATAATGAGACCTTCTGTCATGCAAACATACAAGCAGAATGCTGAATACATAATACATTTTTTAAAAAGTTATCCTCTGACTAGACCATGCAAAAACACATAAATACAACTAAATTTTTAAATGCCATGAACCTTGACATTATTTAAGGGAAATGCAATCCCAAACCATAATGAAGCAATGTGTATAATGACACACATCTGATTTCCCACAAGAGAGGCTAAAGCAGAATGTGTTTGAGGCCAGATTCAGCTACAACTCAATAACGAAGGATCTCAAGTAGGTCTCTATACACCTGCACTCACAGTAGCATTGTTCATAGCAGCTACATGCCAGGAACAACCTAAATGCCACTGACACATGAATAAGTAGGCCAAAGGGGTATATGGGTGTATGTGCTGCTCTTAGTCCAGTTCTAGGTGATCTGGCACCCTCTTCTGGCCTCTACACATATATACATGCAGGCAAATCATACACCTAGGATAAGAATAAATAAATCTTTAAAATATAAAATTGATGAATGTTACAACTTGAATGAACCTGAGGACAGACATGAAGCTAAATCAAACATGACATTTACTGAACAAGACATTGATTTTACTTGTATGAGGCACCCACACTAATCAAAATCATGAGATAGAATGTAGAAAGGGAATTATCAAGAGGTTATTTACAAGGAGCTATCATCAAATGGACAGAGGTTAGTTCTGCAAGAAAGACCCTGAAGATAGATGGTGTACAACAACAAATGTTCCTTAGAAACCATTAAACAAAATTTACACCCAAAGTATTTATAATACAAGAAATTTAGAAAAAAAATGAAATAAAAACTCTAAGTGAACTGCAAGTTTTTTACACACTTCCAACTCCAACCAGAAAAAAAAAATTACCCTTTACCTAAATAGTATGTAGCTTCATTACTAAATTCCCAGATTTTGGTCTATTACCTATAGCCAACTATAAAAGATCTCTTAAAAACAAAACAAAAATTTCTAATGTGTTTACTTAATAACACTGTTATAAAGTATCTTTAAAAGATGACAAAGTTTCAAAACTTTCTAGGTACAAAGCACAGTGTAGCTCAAAGGACCTAGCATTTAAGAAAAATGCCAAATGTCCTCCCCAAATTTCCTTCCTAGACATTACTGTGCTTTGATAAAGGAATGTGAAGCTATTCTTACTGGAGCCTTAGGATGACTAAATTATATGTCAATGGAATACTATTGGGAGAAATCTACTACTCAAATGCTACCAAAAATGGGAGCACATAGCAATATAAAATAAGTGGTCTTACATGACACAGCAATTCCTTGTTTTGTTTCAGACTTTACCATTAAGAGCATGAAGCTAAGCTGGGCGTTGGTGGCCCATGCCTTTAATCCCAGCACTTGGGAGGCAGAGGCAGGCGGATCTCTGTGAGTTGGAGGCCAGCCTGGTCTACAGAGCTAGTTCCAGGACAGCCTCCAAAACAATACAGAGAAACCCTGTCTCAAAAAACCAAAAAAAAAAAAAAAAAAAAAAGCATGAAGCTAGCCAACAGCATCACAAGAGGAAAAGGTACAGAAGATAGAAGGAGGCATTTAGATGATGAGTAGCTTTTAATTTTTGTTACAAATCATGACATACCCCTGGAGGCGTGGGTTCATATCCCACTTCTGACACTAGATAATGAGGATATTCAATGCTATAAGGAAAACAATATATTTATTTACCAGAGAGAGAGTCGCACAAGCTAGGAATTAGAAGCGTGGCTGGCTTCCAAGAGAAAAAAGGGAGGGTCCTTTTCCTTTCACTTCCTTTTATATCTACCTGTGTCAGTTTACATGTCCCCGCCCTCACGGGTGGATAGCTTTGTGGGGTTCACTCCTACAGAAAAGGGCAGTAAAATTAATCAGGCACATAAATACATATGATTGTTTAGCCAACTCATCAATTCCATTGGATCAAGTACCATGATCAGCCAGGTGGTGGTGGCAGAGGTGGGCAGATCTGAGTTTGAGGTCAGGTGAGTCTAAAGACTAAAGAATGAGTTCCAGGGGCCAGGCGTTGGTGGTGCACTCCTTTAATCCCAGCACTCGGGAGGCAGAGGCAGGAGGATCTCTGTGAGTTCAAGACCAGCCTGGCCTACAGAGCAAGTTCCAGAACAGCCTCCAAAGTTACAGAGAAACCGTCTTGAAAAACCAAAAAAATAAAAAATAAAAAAATTTAACAGCCTGGCACTCCATGAAGCCAGAAAGTACTTTCAACAAACCTAATAAACTTTACAGATATTTATGTTACAAATACTTTATATACAGATATTTTTTGGAGGTTCCATATTATTTCAACAACCTTTTTTTTTGGCGGGGGCTGTCCTGGAACTCACTCTGTAGACCAGGCTGGCCTTGAACTCACAGAGACTCACTTGACTCTGCCTCCCAAGTGCTGGGATTAAAGGAGTTTACCACCTGGCTATTTCAACAATAGTAATATTACAAGAAGAAAATTGCAAGGAAAGGAAGACAGTTTCTGTACCTAATCTTACTCAGTTTCTCTTGGAACAACTGCATGTCAGCACAGCTAATGTTTTCTCCCTCAGATTTTAAAATGATTGTAATTTCTGAAGTTCTTTAATGTATATGACTTAATCCCATTTTCAGAATACTCTGTAAACTCACCAGCCATATGGCTCCCCAGGAGTCCACATTATTACAGAGCTCCAAAAACAACCACAACTTACAAGAAAACTGATTCCCTTTACACTTGGTTCTTCTCTCACTCTTCACACTTAGTCATACTCTTTCTTCCGCCCACTTTTGTTCACTTTATGTTGCTTTGCCTGCTACCCACTAGTAAAAGCTATTCCGGCTCCTCGGAGTGGAGACACTGTTCACTGCCCTCCAGCCCAGCCTCAACAGAGCCCAGTGGTTCAACTATCAAAGAGGAAATGGGAGGGAGCATGACTTCTTTTTTTTATTTTTCAAGACAGGTTTTCTCTGTATTGTTTTGGAAGCTGTCCTGGAACTCTTTGAAGACCAGGCTAGCCTCGAATTCAGATCCACCTGCCTCTGCCTCCTGAGTGCTGGGATTAAAGGCGTGCGCCACCAACGCCGCCCAACTTCAAATATTTGACAAACCAGATGGTGGCACACACCTTTAATCCTAGCACTTGGGAGGCCGAGGCAGGCAGATCTGTGTAAGTTTGAGGCTAGCCTGATCTACAAAGCGAGCTCCAGGACAGCCAGGGCTGTTACACAGAGAAGCCCTGTCTCAAAAAAGAAAAATTTTTATTAAAATAACCAAGGAACTACTAGGAAGGATCAACAATGGCTTCTTTTAAAAAGTAAAGGGTTGCCAGGCATTGGTAGCACACACCTTTAATCCCAGTAATCCGGAGGCAGATGCAGGCAGATCTCTGTGCGTTCAAGACCAGCCCGGTCTACAGAGCTAGTTCCAGCTGTCTCGAAAAACAAAAACAAAAACAAAAAAAAAAAAAAAAAAGGGTTAGCCAGTCGGTGGTAGTGCACACCTTTAGACCCAGCACTTATGAGACAGAGGCCAGCCTGGTTTACAAAGCAGGTTCCAAAGGTGCAGAGAAACCTTGTCTCCAAAAGCAAAACAAAACAAAAAACAAAAAGGGTTAAATCTCTAATCTCCATGACTGAAATTCCCTTGTTATATTTCAAGTATCTTAAAAAGTATTGTCAATTAATTGCTTAAGAGAGTAAAACAGAATAACCTTTAAGCTACCCATTGTGAAAAGGAAGAGACCTAAGCAACACTTAAATCTTCATAGAGTTAATTAAGAATGTCCAGGGAAAAAACAAAAAAAGAAAGCCTCCCATAGTAAACTGATATGCTTCCCACATGGATTTGGAACTCAACCCATCTGCAGAAACATTAGGGAAACTGTAGGCAATATTTGAGAAAATAAAATTACATCGAAAGAATTTACATTCAAGTTATACACACCTTGGTTAGTATAAAAACCCCATTGAAAAAAACAGAAATAACACCCCATCTCTATTCATGAATACAAACCGGACAGAACACAAGGATTCCAAACCTGGGACGAGAAACATTAAATTCTTAGGACTGAAGTTGTCCTCTATCAGGAATTTGGGGGGAGGGGATATTTCCACTACAGTCAACCCTTCAATTATTTGGTCTGCCTTATTGTTCACACGGCTGTTAAAGAAAAAAAAATGGAAACAACTGATGGCTACTCCACATTTTACATGTTGGGAGGGACGTAGTAACAGCAGGGTGAGGCTCACAGCATCCTCCTGCCTCGGTCACATCAGATTCTCCGGCGGAATCAGGGACAGCGGTGACAACCACACCCCTGAGGGGTGCCAGCAGCCCGCAGGTTTGACTCAGAGCAGGATTCCCAGGCTTACCACACCCCCTCGGCGACACGGGAACGCACACCGATTTCACGCCGCGATCGCCGCCTCACGCCCCCTCCCGCACGCAGGCGACTCCCCGGCTTCCGCCTCGCTCCTCGCCGACTCTGGTACCCAGCGACCACCGGCCTCTGGCGCCCGCCTCCGGTCCGCGGCCCAAGCCACCGGCTCGAGGGCGCGCCCCCGGCCCACGCCCCCGTCGCCGCCTCCGCCCAGGGCGGCTCGCCGCTCACCTGGCCGCCGGCTCCTCCCTTGCCTCCTGCTCGGCCTGCCGCCGCCTGGGAGCAAACACGGGCCGCGGGAAGTCCGCTGAGGAGGGGGAGGGGGCGGGATGCCGGGAGCCGCCTCCTTTCTCCTCGCCGCCGGCTCCCGCAGCCAGGCCGCGCGTCCTCGCCCACTCGCCCACTTTCTCACGGCCTCGAGGGTGTCGGCCGGCCTCCCCCTTCCCCCCACACGCCCGTACTCTTCGTTCCCACACGCTCTCGCCCGGCCGCCGCTCGCTCGCTCGCTCCCTCCCTCGCCTGTCGCTCGACCGTGCGCGCGCGCGGGACCCCTCACACACACACCACGCAAACACACACCACACGAACACACGAACACACACACACACACAGCGCGCGACGCCGCCGAGGCCGCCCCGCGTCCCCCAGACAGAGGCGCCGCGCGCCCCCCGCCCGAGCCGAGGACCCGCGCGGCCCCGCCCCCCGGCGCCGCACTCGCGGGCGGGGGGCGAGGAGCGGGGGGCGGGGCGGCGAGCGCGCCCCGGCGGACGGACACCTGCGTGGGGACCGCCCCGCCGGCCGGAGGGGAGCCGCGGGGCGCGCGCCTTCGCTCGCGAGGGGGCCACGCGGGCGCTCCGAGGACGCGCGCCTCGCCACCCGCCCCCAAACCGTCCTCTCGGAGCGGGGAAAACGGGTGGGGGGCGAGGATTGTTCCGCTCGGCACCGCGAGAGTAGGCCCTGCCGTTGTGCGCCCTCCCGCCCGCGCTCCCCCTCTCGGGGCTGCGGCCGTGCGCGCTTTGATGCCCGCCGAGCCTCCCTCGCGAGGTCTGGCCTGGGGACTCGGGCGGCTCGCAGTGGCGCCAGCATTGCTCCCTGGTGCCCTGCCTCCCGAGAAGGCAGAGGTTTGGGGACAAAGATGATGGTAACGGTAATAGTCCTGATCCGCGAATGCACCGAAGACGACACCTTTCCGTAGGGGAAAGGCGCCTTAACTGCAGCCTCAGCCGAGCGTGCTACTAGTGCTAAGGGATGCTGAGGCAGGAGGATCACCGGCCACAAAAGAAAAACGTTATCATAAATTGTTTGCCTGGGCCGGTTCAAAGGCAAGACAGGGAAGCTAGAGCCAGCTCGGGCTCTTACAAACCAATATGCATACAAAGGAGCTCCCCGAGTTGATGTTAGAATAAACATCATACATTTAGGAGCATTTCCTAATAAAACCTTATAAAAATCATCGTCCAAAAAAGAGACTAACATTTGACCATGCTCCACTGCTTAACTTCCTTTTCTACCCCGTGAAAGAAGCCAAGGGTGAGGAGTGACCATCCTTCTTTACATTGAAAATTCATTCCCAAATAACTTCTGTCACCATCCCCACCCCCATCTCAAATCACATCAGCCAACAACTTTTCTCTGTGCCTCTTAATCATTTCATTCTCTTGACAGTCCTGAAGACCTGCAGTGGTTCTCAAACCGTGGGTTTCAACCCTTTGGGAGACTAACGACCCTTTCACAGAGCTCACCTAAGACCATCGGAAAACACAATTCATAACAGTAGCACAATTACAATTATGAAGTACCAACGAAAATAATCCTATAGTTGGGGATCACCACAACCTGAGGAACTGTATTAGACAGAAAGGTTGAAAACCCCGAGCCTAGAAGGTGGACAAAATGACTCAGAGGGTAAATAAAGGCACCTGTGCACCTCTGCCAAGCAAAAGGACCGGTTCCCGCCGGGCGTTGGTGGCGCACGCCTTTAATCCCAGCACTCCGGAGGCAGACGCAGGCGGATCTCTGTGAGTTCGAGGCCAACCTGGTCTACAGAGCAAGTTCCAGGACGGCCTCCAAAACAATACAGAGAAACCCTGTCTCAAAAAACCAAAAATAAAAAAATAAAAAAAAAGGACCAGTTCCACAAGTGTGACCTATCTCTGCATCTTTCTCTATAGGTGTATATACATTTTAAGAGCTATACCGTTACCTGGGCTGGGAACAGCGGGAGTCACGCTGCTGATACTGATTGCTGGCTCTACTTAGCCTCTTTGCCTGAAAAAAAAAAAAAAAGAAAAAGTGATTTTTAAAAGAGTTACCTATTTCATCTAGAATTGAATAAGGAGCTAGTAAGCACAGCAGTACATACACAGAGACAGAGAGAGAGAGAGAGAGAGAGAGAGAGAGAGAGAGAGAGAGAGAGAGAGAGAGAGAGGGAGGGAGAGAGGGAGGGAGAGGGGAGAATGGCAGAGAGAGTTAAACAGAGCATGAATAGCTTGTTCCTGCTACTGTAACACAATCGGATTGATAGTAACCATGCACCTTCCAGAAAACGGAGGTTGGGCAAGCGAAGCTGTAAGTAGCGTTTTCTCTCAACTCACTGGCCACTTGCAACTTAAAAATGCTATCTATTATCTATCACATTGCAATTCCCTGCCGGACATCTGAGTGTATACAATAGTGGTGATATTTTCTTTATGGTCTAACACATAAAGTTTGTCTGAAAATCAGAGTGCAAAGCTCGACACACTAGTTGCCCGGCCCGCTGTGCAGCCTGTATCCGAGAATGTGGCGAGGGAGTTGGGATTGACGACAAAGATACCTGTCAGTGGCTCCCAGGAGGATCCTCAAGAAGGCTTCTCAAGAAGGCTCTCTTTTATTCCTACCCTGGCTAGTTATTATATACGTTGGCCCTAGAGGCGGAGGTGGGTGGGTCAGGAAGAGGCAGTTAGTCTTTGGAAAAGGTTGAGATTAGGGCGTTTCCATGGGCCAGCCCTTATCAGGAACTTATTGCCCTAGGCACTGTATTGTTTTTACTAAACATGTTTTTTGCAAACATTGTTTTACAGCTGCCTGTTCACAAACTGATGGGGAAATGGGCCTCCGGCCAAGGTCTGTTATTCCCACACTAGTTAGCCACAGAGGCCAGGCACTCAGGAGGGAGAGCAGGCAGATCTCGGTGAATTCGAAGCCAGCGTGGTCTACAAGAGCTAGCTAGTTCCAAGCCAGGCGTTGGTAGCACAAGCCTTTAATCCCAGCACTAGGGAGCCAGAGGCAGGCAGATCTGTTAGTTTGAGGCTAGCCTGATCTACAGAGGGAGTTCCAGGACAGCCTCCAAAACAATAGAGAGAAGCCCTGTCTCAAAAAACCAAAAAAAAAAAAAAAAAAAAAAAAAAGGAGCTAGTTCCAGGCCAACCTCCAAAGCATCCTGCCTTAAAAAAAAAAAAAAAAAAAAAAAGGAAAAACCAAGGCAGGACATGGGTGGCACACACCTTTAATCCCAGCACTCTGGAGGGAGAGGCAGGCTGATCTCTGTGATTCCAGGTCAGCCTCCAAAACTACAGAGAAACCCTATCTGGAAAAACCAAAAAAAAAAAAAAAGAAAAGAAAAGGTGGGGGATTGGTGGATTGGAGGCACACGCCTTTAATGCCAGCACTAGAGAGGCAGAGGCAGGAAGTTTTCTGTGAATTTGAAGCCAGCCTGATCTACAGAGGGAGTTCCAGGACAGCCTCCAAAACAATAGAGAAAAACAGTGTCTCAAAAAAACCAAAAAAAGAAAAAAAAAGAGCTAATTCCAGGATAACCTCCAAAGCACCCTACCGGGGAGGGGGGGGGAATCCAAGGCAGCAGGAGGGGGGAGGGGAGCTGTGGGTGGCACACAACATTAATCCCTGCACTCAGGAGGCAGAGGCAGGCAGATCTCTGTGAGTTCGAGGCCAGCCTGGTCTACAGAGTGAGTTCCAGGACAGCCCCCAAACCTACAGAGAAACCCTGTCTGGAGACACAAAACAAACAAACAAACAAAAAAGAACGCCAGCTGATATTCCAGAGGTCCCGAGTTAAATTCACAGTCATGTGGTGGTGGTTCCCAACCATCTGTAATGAGATCTAGTGCCTTCTTTTGGCCTGCAGGGATGCCTGCAGACAGAACCCTGAGCTACACGACATTGATTCAATCTGAAAGGAACAGAGTTTACACAAAGGTGATCTCAGCACTTGGGATCCCACACCTTTAATCCCAGCTCTGGAGAGGAATATAAGGTGGGAGGCAACAGGACCTCAGTGCAGTGAGGTTTGGTGCACACAGAAGCAGTCGGGAAGGTCTGAGGACAGGATCGCCGCTTTGGTCTGAGCGTCAGTAGAGGTAAGAACTCTCTAGCTCCTGCCCGCTTTGCCTCTCTTCTTCAGCTTTACCCCCAATTAATACCAAGTAGAATTTGTGCTATGTACGATATTGGTTTTGATGCATGATAATGGGAGAAAGCCAAAAGCAGTGTTGTTTTAAAAAACAAAGCCAATGGCGGCGCGGCCCTTGGTCTTAATAGTGTATAAGAAGGCAGACACACGTGAGGGGCCTGGAAAAGATGGAAAAGTAAGAGAAAGATCATCCCCAGGCTTTGCTCTAAAGGCGAATGCCAGCATTCCGGTCTATATCCTTTGGAAGGCTTCCTTAGCCACAACTGAGGAGCAGAATATGTTATATACTATGTTCATAAAAATCCCCTGAGGGATGCCGGGCGATGATAGCCCACACCTTTAAGTCCAGCACTCGGGAGGCAGAGGCAGGCTGATCTACAACAGCTAGTTCCAGGACAGCGTGGGAAGCCACAGAGAAACCCTACCTCTGAAATCCAGCTCCCCCCACCCCATCCCCACACCAAGAAAATGCCTTGAGGGGTAGATAAAACAAGCATGATAAACTGCACGGTATCCAATGGCATAAGCAAGTTACAAGCAAACACTTAGGGTTAATAGACCTTGTTCAGTTATTACGTATGCCTTGAGCTTAGTAATCGACACTTGGTACAAGTTGGTACCCAGCTTTACAACAGTCAGCTCTTAAACTGGATTCCTAGAACTGCTCTATGGACTTTTGGAGTTAATGCAAAGATCGCTCTGCTTCAGTTGCTCTAAGGATACGGCTTATTTTAAACTGTTCTGTTGTCAGAACCCTTAGAAGAACCAATCAATAATCACTTAACTTTTTGGAATAAAGTGATGGTGCTGAAATCACCATTCCCACCTGGGAAACCCAGGCTAAGAGTGGCCATACCTGGTTCAGTCACATCGCTGAGCTTCATGCTTGGGTTGCCTGAACAGTCGTGTCTCATAGATTCTTTAACGTGTGCTTTATTATAAGTGAGTTTGTTGTTGTTGTTGTTGTTGTTGTTGTTGTTGGACCTAAGGCAGGCTCTGTCGTCTGACCGCAGCTGCCTCTCAGGATGAAGGTGGACATGTACCTAGACCCTTCCCTGGCCTATCGACCTGAAGTGGCCCCAGAGCTGAGCGCAAGCAAGGCCAGCTTCCGCAACTACACCGCAGGCCCACTGCTGGATCGAGTCTTTAGCACCTACAAGCTCATGCACACACACCAGACGGTGGACTTCGTCAACAGGAAACATATCCAGTTTGGAGGCTTCTCACACAAGAAAATGACGGTCA